GCCCAGCAAGGTGTTTTTTGGTTTTTGGTAAATCTGCAGTTGACGTAGCTGAAATACTTCTTGTAACAGTGTCTTATTCCACCAAATGTACTGATATCTATAAGGATGACTTTGAAACAGCTTTTCCGTCATCTACCTCTTTCGATGATCAGGTCGCAGCATTTTATCGTTTTTCCCGATTTTTTCCCCTCACGTCTGGCATCCCAGGTGTTGCCACATCAGCAGAAATCACTCTTTTTTTTTCCAATGATGGCTGCATCTGCTGTATCGGGTTCTAGAGGGCGATCAGTTTATATGTGAAAAATCCATACAATTTTAACATCGTGTTGTCGTTTCCAACAGCGTTTTCAATGTTGTGATTATACCACATTCAAGAAACTTGGACGTTACTGTTTTTGCACAGATGCCAATGGATCAGAGGGGCTTCTCCGCCATGACCTGTTTTGTATTCTTTTTTCTTTTTTTGCATTTAGTTAATTGAAAAAAGGACATTTTTATAGTCAGACTGATTAATTTTAGTGCATTGTTGTTGTTATTATTTCAAGGTGACTTACAGGCAATATCAACAAGTGTAGAGAAATACACTAAACAGCTGTTAAAAACAAAGATAATTTCAGCATCCTTCTTCCAGGAAGTTGGTAGAAAGTAGTTTTGGGAGTAAAGAAGAGCTGAGCAACTTTCTGGGATAAATTTCTTGTGTTTTACTTCCCAGTTCGAAAGTCATTTTCTCCAGTTCTGAAACAGAGGAATCAACATTTTCACTGCCTCTGAGCCTGAAGAATACAATGTGCAGGGATGGACAACTTTTCCCCTCTAATGGCAAGTTGTTCTTGTTGTTGTTAAAATATTGTATCCCAGTTCCACTAATTGTGTGTCATAGCTGATGTTGGCCAGTTTTCTTCTTTGTGTAACCTAGTTACAAACAACAGTGCTGTTGTTTGTAACTGGGTTAAGTTCGACCAAATTTAGGCTGTCCGCAGCTGGTGTTTTTCCATACAGCTTCAGATCATCCATGTAAAGGAGGTGGGCTAGCCTGACAGATGTTTTTGATGTTGGATAGCCATGGCCTGACTTGCTCAATACCTGGAGACAGCAGAATAGAAGAGAAAGAACTGGAGAAAATCACAAGATACAAAGACCTGCAAATAAAAATAGAATGACTGTGGCAAAGGAAAGCAAAGACAGTACCAAAAGTTATGGGCACCTTGGGTGCAATCCCAAAACATCTGGAGCACC